TGATAGAATTCCATGATATAAGATATAAAATAATACAAATTTTACCAAAAATTTCAAACATAGGATTATATAAGAAAAAAATTACGAACTAACAATTAAGTAAATTATATACATTATATGGATTATATTTCGTGATTTTTAAAAAATTTATGGATTAATAAATATCATCTCTCGCCCCCAAATCCATCGTCTTCCCCAAATCTCTTCCTCGGTCTTCAACTCTTCTCGCAGGTCCACTCCCTCAGCCGGCGTCCGTCATCGTCGGTGGACGATCTCCTCCGCTCATCCATGGAAGCGGCCCTCCCCGTCCTCTGTTTGCTGTCGCTGAATTAGGGCTAGGGTTAGGCAGAATCATTTTCTGTTTGAGGCGGCCGGAATTCAGTGGTCTGGGGCATGGCGGGGTGGGGTCGCGCGTGGATGAAGCTTGTGTCGCCGAAATCGGCTGTGATTGGAGCGCCGCTAATCGGCCTGTTCTGGAGGATTGCCGTCGGTGGTCGTCCGGTTCCTGCAGGGGTCAGGTCGCCAGCTCCGCGTGGGTGTGGGGATGGCGGGTCATGGCTTCTCCTTGTGGGTTGGGTTGATTTGGGACGTGGTTCGTTTGGGCTGGTTGGAGTGGCTAAGCTGGAAAGCTGCTCGTCCCCTTTCTCCCCTTGCTCGATTTCCGAGCTTTGGGGGAGGCCGACGGTCCCCGGAGTAGGCTAGTGGTGTTAGACTGCCTCGGTTGGGTGTCGGATCGGCTAGTGGTGTTAGCCGGTGGGGTGGTGTTCGTAGTTTTCTGTGGTTGGAGAAAGGGTCGTGCTCTCGGTTTGCTTTTGCGGCTCCGGTCATCGTTTTGCTAGGCCTTATGCAGTGGTGGGCGTGGTATCGGAGTTTTGAAGCTCTCCTCGGAACCGACTTTGTCTATTGTCCTTTTCGGATGTACCTGCTGCGGGAGGATGTTATGTTCGTGTGTTTTGATAGTTCCCATTTTTATTTAGTTTTGTATCTGTGTTGCTTGAGTCTGTGTTGTTTCTCGTTCGGTGTTTTGGTTTTGGGCCGTTGGCCCCTGTTTAGTTGTATCGTGTTCTTGGTTTGGGCCGTTAGCCCCTGTGAACTTGAGTGTCAACTTGATTTCCCTGTGGGGGCCAGACACTCAGGTATTACCCTGTTGGGGTCTTTGTGTTATTTTTTTAGTGTTTTGTAATGTGTTAGTCTTTAGTGTGCTGCCGAGTATTCTAGCATTGCTAGGTTTCGGATTTAGGCGGTCTTCGGACCTGTCCTCCCAGTTTTATCAGTCGTTGGTTGTATCAGCTAGTGGCTGTAACTTTGCACATTTGTGCGCTTGCATATTTAAATTTCAAACTTCAAACAAAACATGCCTAAATGTATTTTGAATTTTTTAGGGGAAAAATTTAGCAAACACGTTTAAAATTACATATAATACATATTTTTATATGTTATCTTAACATATAGGTTAATTAGTTTCATATCTAAACAATATATATTTAAACAATATATAAACAAATATAACAATTTTTCGTACAATACAGACAAATATATAAACAATATATTTATATACAAATATAATAAACAATACAAACAAATATACAAACAATATATAAACAAATATAATAACTTGTCACGTGTATGTTTCGTACAATACATATATTTATATATATTATCTTAACATATAAGTTAATTAGTTTCATATCTAAACAATATATATTTTAGGAACCTATAGATTCATAACATTACTGACGTCATGTATATTTATAATATATTGTCACGTACATTTCACTATAATTGGTAATTTTTTTAAAATTATTTGAATAACTGGAAGTTGATTTGTAATTTAAATTTCAAATTCATTCAAACATTTAAATGAAAATATCATAAGCAGATTTTTTTGATACATTTCATTTTATCTTAACTTACATATAATCAAATTCCTACCAAACATTAAATTTGCTTATATCTTTTTAAATTAATTACATCAATAAATAATATTAATATACATTACATATTTATTATCATATAACAAATATATTACTTCTACAAGTGTTATAAATTATAATGACATTATATGATAATAGATTTTTTGTTAGGTTAATAATTGAATATTATGATGAACCAAAATATGTAAAATTATTATTATTTTGTATCAAAAAATAAATATATATGTTAAAATATTATTTATAATAATATAAACGGATCAGCATACTAATAATAAAGTTTTAAAAAAAAAGTTCTAAAGTACAGAAACCCTGGCATCGCACGAGATTTTCACTAGTATGCAATGAAAACTGCATCCAGTTTGGATATGTGAAAAATACATTGCTCATTTAAGTATATGCACACACAGACTACNCGTTACCAATTCATGCTGAGAATGGAGTCGGTTTTTACATAAAATTGCGAATTTGCCTCACAAATAAGCTAGAATTTGCTTGTTCATTAAAGAAAGCAAAGTTCTTATATTGAATAGAATAGCAGCTCCAAGACTTGTACCCTCTGCCTCGTTTAGATCCCAAATTGAACACCACACGAGCCAGACGAGACCCATTTGATTGAAGAGAATTAAGATCGATAAAAACTCATCGTTCAAGGTTTGTGGAGCTTGAAGCCGAAAACTCTGGGAACATAGCTTTGAGTCGGTTTTTGTGTCTTGAGGTGTCCATAAGTCATCAAGAAAAGATGGGGAAAGGTGGTCCCGAAGTATGCTCCATCAATGTCTTTTTGTTAGTCAAGAAAATCATCTAAAGGAGGTAGATATATTATACATAACAAATAAAAACACTCAAGTAATATAGGAAAAAAGGTTACATGCAGAGATATTTAATATTGAAACATAACTGGTACTGTTCTGTAACAAGATTATAAAGCTCATGGGTAAATTTTTCAACTGACTTGAAACAATTTGCTTGAGCATATAAATAGTAAATTGTCTGGGTAAGAAATAATTTCAATACCAAGCCAATTATGATTATCTTGTTATAGCTAAAAAAAACAATTTTTTTCTTTGTTATGCTCTTCCAACATAACAGAAAATTGACTCAGCAGGAAATTATCAAAGATCTAAGGCTTAATCCAACATTTAATATCCTAACGGGCAGAATTAGCTTCCATAAACCTGAAATGTCAGATTGCACACTGCACGAGTAACAGGGAGAGTAAAAAGATGCATCAAAATGATTAAAATGAAACCGAGTATTAAAAGCACCCCCAAAACCAAAATGAAGGATACTGCCTTGGTACTTAGAACGAGGATAGTAAATGTCATCACACTTCGGACAGTATATTTTCACGGTACTTGAGCGCGGGATGTCTGATTGCCCAACAGGAAGGCAAGGCTGACCACAACAGTAAACTCTCGGACATCTTCCGAAATCATAGTTTTTGTACTTCTCTAACTGGTTTTAGATTCAGGCCAACAAGTAAAATGAGACAATAATGTAAAAATGAGGTTGAGGAAAAAAAAACAGTGAGTTTATTACCATTGCAGCCAGTCCCTTGGTTGTCAAAATGTACCGGACGTGAATAAGGCCATAAAGCATCTCTGCAGCTGATTCAACTAATTCGTTCTGTTCCTCAGTAAACATATCACCTACTTGCGTATTGCAGGTATGAGTAACCCAAAGGTAAAAATGGCATAATTATCAAAGAAAAATGCAATTTTATGATCAGAAAAGTAGAGTATGTGGCTACTTATGAAAATCACAAGTCACACAACGAAAAGACCAGAAAAGTAAATGAGCAAATCCATATGTAATCAGTATTGAACCAAAAACAATATTCAAATGAACAAACAGTGAACATGTAGGAGGCATGTTATAAAGCTCAAATGATAAACTGTATTCAGAAAATTTGGAATGATCAACAGTCTTTATGCTATAATTTGAATCAATATTTCTGTGCTCACAATCATATTTCATTCAGACATACAACAGGACAATGTATGGAAATAGGCGGCTAAAATTACTTATGAAAAAGTATAACCAAATTGATGAGCATAAATACAACTTTCTACATTCAGTGTTAGATTTACAACATTCCTCCAAGACTAAGCGGCAATGATTACTCTAAATGCAAATCATAATATTTTCATAGGTTGCCGGACATGCTTTAAATGGTTAATGGTTCGATTGAACTTTCTGGCTGACTAAAAAGATTGCCAAGTGGAAACGACAGAAGCGAAAGTGCAAGATCCACAGCCCATTACCAACAGCCAAAGTTGAATTTAATCGATTATATGAATTTAGGCTCAACAGATTTAAGTCATATAAGTTTGATGCTTATTGACACACCATTTATTCGATTAGGTTTATAAATAGGACAGGATAACCACCAATCTCACAAGACAGCCTATGGAACTTCTATCAAGTAAGGTACAAGAATGTTACCATGAGAGGATTCCACATCTAGAATTAGATCAAGTGCATAATCGTAATATGGAACTTGACTGCTCAATCCACAGAGATTAAAATCATCTTGGATATAATCATCATCAACTTCACAGAAGAATTCATTTCCACGCAAGTTGCAAAACCACGAGATCCAAGATGTATCATCCCCATCAGAACCACTGACATCAGACTCTTCACTATCTGTTTCAGATTCATCTGCAAAGTGGCATACAATATGAACCTTAAAATTTTGTTTAATTAAAAAAAAAAGTGCATGTTTTCATTTTGCTTTCAAATACACCACCAAAAGCGTATGAAATAAAACACTTGAAATTTGTTAAGTTAACTGGGATCTGAACAGATAGCCTCTTGGTGGGGGAAAAAAGAGATGAATTTACAAGATTATAAACAGGTATATTCATGTATGCTTTTGCAAAATAATATATGCATCTGTGCATATACATATGAATGTATGGATACTTCATACTTGTTCGTGTGTGTGCATGTACAAACTGATTATTACGCTTAATGTTATTGAAATGCCAAAGAAACATAATGCCACCTTGTTTTCAACCGCAGTGAAGGTCAAAGTATGTCTCTTTAATGTTTACGTCACTAGCATCAAGTTCAAAAGTGTTTGGGATAAAAGCAGCATGTAAAAAATAGCTAGTAATTTTAACGAACAACTTAACGACAATATGAACACCACTGTAAATAAAGAAACAGTTTTTCGGAGGATACATTCACGTGCATTTTTTAGCAACATTAAATACCACGTTTGGGAAACATGCTTACAAGCACGTGCTTTTTAGCGTGATTATACATATCTGAAACTTTAAATCAATCACATATATCCAAATAAGGGTTGCATAAAGTTTAATGGTCAACTGTTAGAGCTAGATCTGGGGCTACCACTTCAGAAACCACGAAAAGTTTTACAGTTCATCATAATCATTTAGATGAATTCACAAACAACCAACATAAACATAGCAAAAACATATCTCAAGATGGTGTTTTCAATTAATATTCTCAATATGCTCCACCAGAATTAAGAAGCCATAAAAAAAGGTGTAAACTTGCTGTTCTAACACCACTGCTAGCTCAATATTCGAAAAAACCCGGCTTTGCACATGAACAGCTAAGACCTTTCACGCAAGATGCACCCATGTTTATCGCTCATACATGTTCAAGATTCGGATATTTCAAAATACCTCCGAAAGGAAATATGAAAGCAGCAAATAGGTCCCATCATTAAACATAAAACCCATAAAACTGCAGTCTGATAAAAAAGAGAAAAAACGCACCATCGGCGTACTTGTTATTGTCGGTGGGCAAGTTTGACGACGAGCGGTTGTTCCGGCCGTCAATCTGTTTGCCGCCGGTGGAGGTCGACGTCGCGGCGGCGGCGGTTGAGCCCTTGATTCTGGAGGTGGAAGGAGAAGATCTCTCCAAATGCTTGTCCAAAGCGTCATTGATTCGCTTCCGATCCAACATCTCTCCACCCTTGGATGAGCCCCCTCCTCGATCTCTATACATGTTCATATCAGGTTAACAAAAAAAAAAGGAAAAAAAAAACAAAAAAGCGAAACCCAAAAGCAGCACACTCTGTAATTTTATGTAATCATGGGAGTTTTGAAAATTGCCACAGGAAAAATGCTTAGATTTGTACAGTGATCGGGTGCGATGAAGGCGAGACGATAATAACTAGGGTTTCTTTCTATACTGAGAGGATGCGGACAGATGAGGTGATGATAATATATGTTTCATTTTCACATTTTATTTTAATTCCTAGGTGATGATATTTTATGTTTCATTTTCCACATTTTTTTTTAATTTCTAGTTTTGAAATTTCTTTATTTTCACATAGTTAACGAGCCAAACTGAACACGATAACGATTCAAGAATCAAGAGTTTACACCTCTAGACATGAACATGGAGTTAGAATAGAAAAAAAAATATATTATTTTCATCCACTCAAAATTATTTTTTATCATTATGTAAAACTCATATTTTACAAGGATTAAAATCGTTTTTAAATAATTTGTATGAAGAAATTAGCCAACTCGTTTACGGGCATGAACATAGAGTCAGAATAAGAAGAAAAAAAAATTGTTCACTCAAAACTCATATTTTACAAGGATTAGTATCGTTTAAAACAATTTTTTGAAGATATTTCATTACTCAATTACTGCTGAGGCCATCGTCTATTATCCAATACCTCAAATCTACCATATTAAAATAATGGTTTCAAATGAGTATTGTTTCAATTTGGGGTTGTAACTGGCAAACATGCACTAGAAATGGTCTCGAATGGGTGTTTNNNNCGATAGATAATATAAAAACCTCAAAAAAATACAATCAATTGACAATACAAGGCACATTTGCATATAAAACATCAAATACAAAGGTGAAAGAAGACTCCTGCGAGAGAAACCATCCCCAGCTAGCCGCAGTAGACTTAAAAAACTAGACACAACACTCACCTAATGGGCGAGTCAAAAGGCTCAATTATTATTACTTTTGTTGTTATTTGTTTTTTCCCCTTCAACACAAAATGTAGCTCGGCAATTGGTAGCACTCTTTACTTGGACCAATAGGTCTCAAGTTCGAGTAATACAGAAGGTAAGTAGAGAATCACTATTGAGAAAGAAAAAAAAAACATACATAAGTACATAGGAACATAACGTGTAAGATAGGTCCATTATTCTTGAAAATGGCACTACAAAAATAGCATAAAATCAGACGGCCATGAGACGTATTACACCTCTTTACGTATTCCAATAAATCTCATGAGAAGAGAGACCGGTTCCTATTGCGTTCTAGCCGTGCTTCTCTCTGTCAACAAACAAGAAAAATAAAAAAATAAAAAAACTAAGCATATTTGATCGTTGAAAAACTTCAAAGTCTCCAAAAGGCAATAAGGGATTTAGCCACATTTGCAGAAACATTCAAATTGAACTTTCGAAATTACAATTTTTCATCACCACTTGTTGCGAATATTACAAACAGCAAGAATGAACCCCATGGAGATGTAAGTACTCAATGTTTTTTTGTTTTTTTTTTCAGAGGGTATTTGTAGTTAATGAAGTAAAACCGAACATTCTTTTTTTCATAATCACTATAAAACCTAGCAGCAGTTTCTGCAAAATAATCCTTCGACATAAAAGATACAAGAATCCTTATAACTATACCTCCTTTTTCTTGCATTCCTTGTATACATCAAAATGTTCCTGGCACTTACTCTTGTCATCACGATATACTTCTAAACCTGCAATATGGAAGAATTGGAGTTCAAAGTTTACTGTAGCAACACCAAGAAAAATCCAAAAATTTCCAGTCTCAAATTCTCAATCACAACAAGCCTTCGCCATACTCATCAACGAACAACATAAGTACTATATACCCCACGCGAACTTACCAAGACTAAGGCGAAAAACAGTTCAAGGTACTAACAACTTAAGGAATTTGAAGATTTACGCGAATTGCAACACAATTATCGGAAGAGAACAATCGGGTATTCGGGTTCCATCGGAAGAGAGCTGATAACAACTACCACGTAACTATTTAACTTTTTTTCGTCGATTGTTGACCGACCATAAGAAAGGCATGATTTTTTATGCTCAAACTTTACCAATATGAATCACAAAAACGCGCTAACTGAGCCATAAAGTTCCAATTTTTCTCACAGAAAACACTCACAAAATCAAGCACTTGCATGGAAATACACGCAGGACAATCAATTACAAGACTGTGAAATAAGCAAAACTCACCCAACATAGCATCTAAATAAACAGGTACACAACACTATGTATGGGGCCAACACGCACAAAATCAAATCATATACAGCAATAAAAACAGAACATTGGCATTAACTAACCTACAATTACAAAAAAAAAAAAAAAAAAANAATGGTCAAAAATTTCTGGAAACCCTACCATCCAAATTGAGCTTTCAAATGAAAAAAAAAAATTAGAAAAAGCAGGTAAAGCTAAATTACGAAAGGGCTTACACTTGAGTGAGGCCGTGTAAGCAGGGTAACATTCAGAATCTGAGATTCGAGCCGCGCTTGGATATGGCGTTGATTGAGCTTTTGACGACGCCATTTTTTCTAATCTCACTCGCGTCCAAGTTGAACAATCTTCGTCGTCTCTGTGTATTTTGCTTCTTGTTAGGGGGACCAATTTAAAATGGGCTTGTTAAAGTAGACAAAGAATTTCAAAGAACTGTCCGTTTTAAAATGCGCTTGTTAAAGTTGACAAACTGTAGCCCATTGGTCTTGAATTTTAAAGAACTATCCGTTTTGAAGCCCAAATATGGGATGAGACCAACTGAGAAATAGGCCGACATATCCTATGGTCACTAATTTATCTAGAAGTAAATTATTTATTAATATATAAAGAGAGAATGATATTTACCTGAAATACTAACTATAAATCAGGAAAAAAATATTTAATCTATACTTATATTAAAAGGTATACCATTTACCAGATTTAGTATAAAGAAAAGTCAACAACATTTATTGCATTACTATTTCCGTATTATATAATCTATACTTATATAAAAGGAGATTCTATTTACTACATTTACTATCCAGAAAAGTCAACTGCATTAAATGTCATTACTATTTTAGTATTATAATATTTTATTTATTTAATTGATTAATTTAATTGTTTTATTTTAAAAAGGTAAGTATAATAAAAAGATTTTAATAATAAAAAAATCAAATACCAAATAAAAATGTACACTTTGACAAATAAAACAAATCCATACACTTATAACAATTCTACTACACTATTTAACAATATTTCTTTTTTATTATATTATAAAATAATAATTAAATATTCTATGGTGAACAACAATAAGTAAAACTGTTACTTTCTCTTATATCAAGGGATAAATTTATATGCTAAAATTAAATTTTTATTAGTATAAATGTTTTAGTAAGATAATATATTAATTATTTTACAAGCTAGCCCTAACAATGCTCATATTTAATGTTTTAAAAGATGTAGAAAAAAAACTTATAATAACTCTATTGTTTTTTAGACTTAAACGTTGATTAAAAGAGGTAAAAATTCCTAATTTTTTAGACTCAAGCGTTGATTAACACCATAGATTGAGAGTTTATATTTAGTAAGATTCATTATAAAAAAAAAAAGAAAAAAAACTACAATGAAAAAAGCAAGTCAGCTATATATCGATTTGTTGTACTCCTCAAATCACATTCACAATTTGGCTACAAGGAAAGGAAACTCATTGATTAAAATATTATTTTGTCAGTAGTCTTAATGTACAAGAGACTTTAAGACTCCACTTGAATATTATAAAACTTTTATTGAACATTTTACAATTTTCTTGCGTATTATAAACTTTTATTGAATATTACATCTTATAATATAATATTCTCCAAATAAATATATCTCGTGCTTCGCACGGGTCACGTACTATATATATCCCGTACATTTTTTTTATTCATGTATATAATTATAAGCCTGAATAAATAGCCTTAAAATTGTGCACCTCGTGCATCGCACGGGCTCTGTACTAGTTCCTGCCTAAAAATTGAGATTTACTAAATTGGATAAATTTTTTGGCGAAAATTTGAAAAATCCCACCTAAATTAATGTAATTAATGTACAAAATCATTTTGGTCAAATGTTGTGGAAATTACCTTTATTAGTTGCATAGTTTAAATTTAGAATATAATATATTGACAAAACTTGCAACTATTACCTTTATTAGTTGCATGATTTAAATTTGGTATATAATATATTAAAAAATAAAAATAAAAAATAATTTTATCTAAAATAAAAAATCGAAGAAATAATTATTCATAGCTTACGGGTATTAACTTGGACGTAAACGAAATAGTCAGTTATTTATAGTTTAATAAATTACTCAACTACTTAATTTTTTTTTTTTATTTGAACAGTTCATACAAAAATAAATTATTTTAAGTAATGAAAAAATATAAATTTTATATTCTTACTTATTACTCACATAGGTTGTTCAATATATGATAAAATTTTACCAAAATAACTATTTTATGAAATCACATTATAATCAAATTGAATTTCTAAATAAAAAATTTGAAATGACACTTATTTTGAAACGAATATAATGTAATTTATTATCAGTTATGTGCACCGCACGGGTTGTGTACTAATTTTAAATACACATTTTTATATAATTTTGCACAACTTAAACTCTATATAACATTTTCAATAAATTAATATAGGTAAATTGTATTACATATTGATTCCATATTTTAATTTATAAATATTATTTAATAATTTTTTTAACTGTAAAGATTAATAAATATCTGTTACCCGTGCACCGTGTTGACCACCGATTTGGTAATAACAGTTTATTCGGGATCAGGTCAAATTATAAATAAAATCCATCCTCATAACGGTGGTCCACGATAATGATAAAGACTCCAGCTGGTGTTAGAAGATATTCCATCCTTATGAACGACCTATGATTTCGGAATCACGCCTTCCCACCGACGTGATGCATTGGCAGAGCTCTTTTCCCGAGCCCTCTCCGACTTCCGATTGTCGCCGACTTGCCGCGACTTACCGGCACAACCGACTTCTCAAGATTTTACTACCGTTTACCGACATCACAATCCACCTCGGAAGCAACTGAGTTCGCTTATACCGAAGCAGGTGACAAGGCGCCTACACGACCTCCTTACGTCTCGTGCCCAACGTCATAATGATCGTGGGCCTGACTGACCAAACCGCCCATTTAAAGCTACTTTTCGCACAATTCCTGAATAATTGGAGATCTTGAACAATGTGTATAAAAAAGTTACTATATATAGCCGAAAATTCTCTCAGTGAGAGGGGACGGCACTTTGTACTACTATCACCTTGGTCAAGAACGCACCGACCATTTATCAATTAATAAAATTTCATATTTATCGCTTTAATCCGTGTCATATACCAGTTAAAATCAGTTAATTATGTTGTTACAAATCCATACGACAACACACCGCACGGGACTCATACTAGTTGTAAATATAATGCATAGAAAAAAAAAAGGCTAAATAACTCAAAATTTGTATATATTTTTAAATTATTTATTAAATAATAATAATAATCTCCCAAATATGTTTAAATATAAACTTTATTTTTTATTTCAATAAATTATATATGTTATTAAATTAAAAATAAAAAATAGTATGTTAATAAAAGTATCTGATTTAAACCTGTACAATTTTTAAGGTGAACAATTTTGGATCCAACCGGCTGGTTTGGCCTTAAACCCATAGAAACAATCCCAATCATATTTTATAATTTGGTTTTCTATAGTTAGATTTATTTTTTAATCATACCTTTTCACATGAGTGCCTATATAGAGTTAAAAAGAGAACAATGTGAAAGCTGTGGTTTTCAAGGGTGTAAATTGTAAATAAAATTCAAACATTAGAGGGAAGAAGAAAAATAGAAAAGAAAATCGAAATATGTGGTTTTTCTTTTCCCCTTCCTTTTTCCCTGTCTTTCTAGCTTTTGGTAAATTTTTAACTCCTTAATTTAATTACTTTCAGTCACAGTGACACTCATTTTTCCCCCTATGACAGCTCAAAATAAAGTGAATTTCACACACTTTTTCTTAATGTGAGAAAAAGTTCATTACAAAATCTTTTGCT